CACTTAGCACTAAAATCCCGTAAAACAATAATTCATCAACGAAAATTTTCCGCCGTTTTCCATTTTCAACCAACTATATATCGAATTTATAGGTAAATTTCTAAATTAGGACTGCTTGACATCAATAAACCAAAAATAAATATACAACAAAAAATGACAACCTCACTTCCAACCCGGCGCTTAACCAACAACGAAAACAAAGTAATAAAAACTAGCATCGTAAATAATGACAAAGAAGAATATGATGCTATCGATGAAGAAAAGGAAACCAAAGATGACCAGCCAATAAAGAAACCTGACACCTAATTCGCATCAAAGTTCAATCTTACAACACCAAAGTTCATTTTTACAACGTCAAAGTTCATTTTGACAAATTCATTATTTCCCTATATATACAGCAAGGAGCACTGATGATGATTCATTCGGAATCGAAATATGGCCTTATTTGCAGCATGAATTCGAAAAATAAGTTATATATATATATATATATATATTGGTAATAGACCATACTATTTACAATATTCTATAAATTCTACCGAATGTTGGGCGTTAATATGTTTGTAGTTCGTTTTTCCAATTTTTCTCACTAAAGTTTTTTGGTGAACGTTTAGTTTATTAAAATTCAAAATAAACTTATTTTCCGAATTCATGCTGCGTATATGCATTTATAAATTCTTTCCGGCATAAGTTTAGTTCATTTTTGACACTGCAATCAACATCACAGTAGTGATTCCATTGATTCAACAATTCAGTTAGTTGATTGGACAAGTCTAGAACTTCCAATATTCTATAAATTCTACCGAATGTTTTAACGTTAAACATTCGGTAGAATTTATAGAATATTGTAAAAATTATGGTCTATTACCAATATATATATATATATATATATATATATATATATATATATAAACGGCCCTTCAAGACCGGTATAATTTTCCTCAAAAGAAAGATATAAAAAATCAGACAATAGGATTAAGGATCCTCAAAAGAAAGATATAAAGAAATCAGACAATCGGGTAAGTCTTTAAAAGAGGAATTGGTTTCCATTTTGCAATCGTATGCTAGTTCTTCGGACTACGAAGTTGACAAAAAGTTACTTCTTATCTTACACATATATGTATTAAAGTTTCTAGTCAGACGATTGTTAAACAACTGTAAAATTTTTCAAATTAACAAATATAAACCGAGTCAACCCATACAACAAATCAAACAAAGGAAAAATTTGTATTTATTTTATTAAAAAAGAAACCTTAAGAATTTAGCTGAGAACATATATATTCATTTAATATACATTATCCACAATGTAAGATAACGAACTACAAATGTTTAGCCAATAAAAATAGGGTCTACGATTTTTTATTGTATTTTTCCCCATGGAAAAATCTTGTCATTGGCTTACCACTAACGCCACAAGTGCCAACCCCAACTCGACCAATCGGAGTGTCAGGCGATGCAAAAATGCTTTTCTTCACTTTGCCTTTATTCGTTTTTGAAAATATCTGAATGGATTATTAAATTTTGATTAACTAGTTTACGAGAAATTTAAATTTTTCCAAAAACATTATTCAAAACAGAAATTTATACAATGGAGTCAAGACTTCATTACCGTATCATTTCTATAATTAGCATAATTTTAAAATTTATTAGAAAATAATAAGAAGCAGATATAAAAGTAATAACAGTACACCGTTTACTTTCATCCACTATCTTTAAGAAATGTACAGAAAAGATAAATGTGGAAAATTATGAAGAAGCGTGTATAAGGAACCTTGGCATTGAATTGCTCCCATTTATGCTTATCTAATTCCCTCTCATCTTCTTGCTGCTTCAGTCGTTGGGCCTTTTTTTGGGACTTCTTTTTTTTATACTCCCTCTGAGCTAGAGATATGTCTTTTCTGAAATAAATTAAGAAAATGTTGATTTCATCATCTATTTGTTTCGAAAAATTTATGAATCGGACGTAAATATGACAAGAATAATTTATCAAAAAACATTAATAAACAGTAATAAGATGTAAGGGACTGTCCATAAAGGATGTCACAAATCGACCAACTACCCAAAAATAAGCCTGTCCCAAAACTTTTCCCCCCCCACCTCCCCTCTTAGTGAAAAGTCAATAAACAACGTAATTGTTCTATGCATTTTTATTATTATTATGAGAAAAAACATAGGCGAAGACAAAATGTCTCTATGCCTGCGACACAAAATTAACTATAAAATTTTAACACATAAACAATGTACATGAATATATGTTAATATGTTCTGTTCATTCATAAAGATCAAACAAAAAAAAATATAAAAATATAAAAAGAGAATAACTTCTATTATTAGAAGTACTAGAACTAAAACTAATTCAACTATATATATGTATGCAAACATTTCTTCATAAAAATTCTAATATTATATATATATTAAAATAACAATATATTGATATCAAAATAACGAATGACAAATTTATATGACGATAGTTTGATATCTAAATGCTTTACCGTAGTTAAAATATAACAAATTAATATTAACTTCTACACTTACACAGTAGTAAACTTTAACGATG